GGGGCGAGGCCGAGCCCAGGCGCCGCAGGGCTGGTCGGGGAGCCCCCGTCCGTCTGTCTGGCCGTCCCCCTGCGGGGTGGCATCAATGGACACGATGGGACGCCGGAGCGGAGGTCTCTGCTCACTGGGGCCCGTGGGGCAGGAGGTGCGAGTCCTTCCCCTGCAGCCACGGTCACGGTGCCTCCCGTACCCCCAGCGCCGCGGGGACGGTACCTTGCGGATGAAACGCTGGGTTTGCTCTTTTTGCCAGGCAGGGGCTGGGCAGGGCGAGACCCCGCGGTGCTGGGCGGCTGGGTCAGCGTTCCGAGCCTGGTGCTCGCTGCCTCCTGCTCCCACCTCCTCCAGCCCATGGGCTTCGCTTCCTCGGGAGGTGGCACCCGCCGACTGCCGGCACAACGAGGGGCAGCCGGTCCCAAAAAGCAGCAGCCCCTGGTGTTGGCACCTTCTCCAGATGATGGTTTCTGCTCAGCCCCTTCCCTCTCCTGCTTGCTGCCCGCAAAGGTGTTGCGCTTCAGCAGCAGTTTGCAGGCTGGCAGGGGTTCGATGGGACCCGGTGACAAATCTGGCTGCCCCAGGTACAGAGGGGACCCTGGAGATGGGGAGCAGCACAAGGGGCACCCCGAAACCCCAGAGGACAGGCAGCAGGCATCACCCTGTGTGCGTTTGCCACCCCATCGCCAGCAGCCGAGTGCCTGCAGTGCCAGGACCACGCCAGTGGCACGGCTAACGACCAGCGATCGTTGCAAAGACATTTAATCTGGCGTCGGCTTCATTTACGTCCCTTGCAGTAAATCCTGAAGCGCAGCAGCCGCTCGTGGGCGGCGTCCACTGCACTGTGGCCTCAAGACCCCTCCTCAGGCTGTCGGGAACCCCCCCTCTGCCTCCTTGCAGCCCGGGAGAGGGAGGTGATGGGGCAGACCCACAGCATGGGGTGGGGGGAGGCAAGATCCTGCCTCTCTTGCAGTTGGGGACAGGGAAAAAAAAGACACAAACAAAAAGTTGTTTTTTTTCCCAGCCAGCAGAAGTGAATTGGCTTTTTCACACAGCAACTGGCATATTTGAGGAGGATTGTAATCTCATGCCATTCTTGGTGAAAACCTGCAGCACCATCAATGAAAGCCAAGACCCACCTTCCCAGAGCCACCGGAGCCTGAAGGAGCATTTCCTTCCCTCCTCTTCCTCACCACCCTCCACCACCCTCCTCCCCAGGGCTGGTCCCCAAGGGGATACCCGTGGGGATTTGGCAGCATTTCCTTCCTCCTGGCAATGGCTTGGCTCAAACAGGAGAAGACCCCCGGCTCCTTCCCACTGGAGAGCTGCACATCGCTGATGGGGAGCCCCCCAAGAACAATGGGACCATCCCCCAGGGTGGGGGGAATGTCACCCCAAGAAGTGGCCCTGGCTGAGCAGCACAGGCCGTTTTGGGATGCCATGACCCCACGCCAATGGGATGCTGGTCTCTGCCCACCCTGGGGCAGCTTTCTGGCTCCGGGCTCCCTCCCCAAGGAGGGACATGCGGGGCGGTGGGGACCATGGTGGGAAGCGTGTCCCATCTTGTCCCCACCGCCCCACCCCGAGGCTCAGTAGCCCGACGTAAAGGAGCCGTTGGAGATTTCGGTGTAGAAACAGGTACTGTGGGATGTACTGGTGAGGCTGTAGGCAAAATACGCCACGGCAGAGCCCAGCGTTAAGCCCGTCATGTAGGACACGGTCATGGTGTTCCCTGCAGGAAGGGACATGGGGTGTCAGGGCACTTTGGCCACGCCACATGGGGTCCCCAGGAGGGCTTGGTCCTACCTGCCAGCTCCCGCTGCTCGGGGCTCACTTTCCCGGCAGCCAGGATCATGGGGACGCTACCAAAGTAGCCGTTGGTGATGCCCATGAGGAGCGAGAAGATGCAGGGCCAGGCAGGGTGGCCGAATGTGGGCCTTCCGTTGGGGTAGACACACATGATGAAGAGGGGGATGAAGACCACACGGAGGCAGGAGTAGACGAGGAGGTGGGTCCCTTTCCAGTCGTAGGGCAGGGCAGCCAGGATCTGCAGTGGGGGGCAGAGACCACGCTGTGGGGGCCGAGGAGGCTGGGGAGGGCAACAAGGTGCCCAAAATGAGGCAGCAAGGAGGAGATGGTGACAAGACCATCTGCTGCAGGATCCCAACCTCAGCCATGTCGGTGAGCAACCTCACACTAGTTAGACACCCCTGGGGTGGAGATGACCCTTGGTGGAGCCAAGCGGCTTTGAAAGAGGACACAAAAAGGAAGCACAGTGGAAGGGATGCATCCACCCCACCGCGTTGGAGTTGGCTTCTCTCCTACCTTGCCGACGAAGTCGGAGAGGTTGAAGATGGCCATGATGAGGATGGGGAGCCATTCCCCCAGCGTGCAGTTGTGGATCTCTGATTCCAGCCCGGGAAAGAGGCACAGCGTGATGAAGTAGGTCATGGCGATGGAGAGCATGTAGGCCCAGATGAGCCGGGACACGACGTAGCGGTGGAGCAGCATGTCTGGCAGGTACGGGCAGCACAGCTCAGCCAAAACCCACTGACCTACCCTTGCAGAGCCTGAAAGTCTTGCCTGCACCCCAACAGTGGCTTCCAAAGACGACATGCTTGCCCCATATTTTTGGGTGTGTTGAGAAGGGATGACCCTTCCCCAAAGCCCTAGGCTACCGATGGCTCCTTCCCCATAAAATGCTGCAGAATTGGCTCACCCCCTCCCCTGAACCCACCACCCACCTCTGAAGCTGGGCCAGCTCCTCTTGATTTTGGGCCGAGGGACATCAAAGCGCATGTAGGTGCCGCTGCCGGTCAGCTCAGCTTCGGGGCCTGGGCTGCCCCGGGGGGAGGGCTGCCCCGGGGGGAGCTGGGCTGCCCCCGCAGCCGGTTCTCCTGGGCAGGGGAGAGAGGGGACACCAGTGCCGAGCTCCAGTGGTGAGAGGGACCCCAAGAGGCACCAAGGAAACCCACCCTTGGCTTACAAATCTGATGTCCTCAGCAGTGACATCGTGGTGGACGCGGTAGCCTGCCCCATGGTCACCAGCCCCCTGGGGCTCGGGGAGACCCTTGCGGGAGCAGGCGGTGTAGTAGCGGACAAAGCGGGTGCGCTTCACCAGGAGGTGGAGGATGAAGCACGTCAGCTCCATGCCGATGGAGATGAAGAAGAAGATGACCGTGTTCTCCTTCTCGTCTGACAGCAGCAGCTTGGTGAAGATGCGGCTGAGTGAGATGATGACCCCGGCGGTGCCTGGTGGCACAGAAGAACTATTGGCACCGGGTCCTGCCGAGCCCCACCGCTCGGGGACCCCCC